CTGTAATTTACTGTTAGTTTACAGATTTCCATTATTTTGTTAAATTATAAATGATATCTACAAGAATCATAGAAAATAACGGTATGACTACAGTGTAAATGAAGTCCACGTTGAAAATCTGTTTTTTGGCCATCGACACTGTAAAAAAACAAAACAAACAAACAAAAAAATTTCTCAGCAGGTTTTATCTGTAATTTTTTCAAAATAATTTATAGTTATTTTACAGATTTCCACTGTTTTGTTAAATTACAGATGATAACTCGCATAAGGACAGAAAAAAATCTATAAATGTACACGTTGACTGTCCTCCAGTGTAAAAAACATCCACATGGAAAATGTGTGTTTTGATTGATATCGGTGATGCAGCAGCTAAACACAGCATTATTTCACCGATTATATTTGGAGCAATTTACTGGTACTTTACATACTTTCCCTTTTTTGTTAAATTATAGACAATAGCCAATAAAATCACAAAATAAATTAATTTACACATTCACTAGAAAAGAAAAAAGTAAATAATGTCCACATCAAAGTAGAAGTTAATTCTTTTTACAATGTTTTACTGTAAATTTACAGCTGAAATGATCATTATTATAACAATATTTGACATTAATTGAAAAAATTGTGCTGTTGAATTACCGCTAACGTCAAAATATTGTGTTTTTATAGATTTGTTCTTTCACAGCGTTCGACTGTAAGTTACTGTTTTTGTAAATATTAAGAACTATCAACTAAAACAGATCATTTTACAAGTATTGTCCATTAATGAAAAGAAAAGGTCTACGGCAAATTAAAGACGGTAGCTGATTGTAGACATGTTGGGTTTTTGTTTTTACAGTTTACAGATTTGTGCCGTGCTGGTAAATCACAGCTAATATCTTAAAAAAAACAAAAAACTGACGGTAAAACATTCACGTTTTTACGAGGTGTGGCTTTAAAATGACACTTTTACTGCATTTAAATCAGCAAAAATCATTTTACAGATATCTGCTAATTATTAAAAAATAAATAAATGACAGGATTTCACTGGTTTTTAACATTTTTGTTTCCCCTCGCTGCCAGATTTTCTTAGTTTCTTTAACAGATTTTTTCATTTATTTCCAGTGCAGTAAATCCTTTTAAGACATTTGAGGACACGGTGCAGATCGCTCACAGTTTATTGCTGAGATTTATTAGGTGGGACTAAATCCTGTCGGTGGAAATCAGAAAACAGATCACGTCGATGTTGACAGACGTCCATCAGGCCTGAAGCGGGACCACCTGACACATCTGCAACCAGATCAGCTCCACGGTTTCATCACCAGCAACTCGATACGCCAATAAATCGTCTGGCCTTTACCTTCAACAACAACCACAGCACCAGTGTTTATGCTCAGAGCCTGTTTGTGGAGGGAGGCTGGAACCTCCCCTCATGTCAGTCCTGCCCTCAGGCGTGTGCAACGGGTGGCTCAGGGGCCCAACGTGGACGCTTCAGGTGTTTTTAGTGCACACACACACTCTGATCAAACAGATGCTCCCAGCATTCTGCCATGGTATCGGTTCCCTCGCAGCTCTTTTCATCTCTTTATTTTAGGACAAGCGTCTACAGACACTGTTGGTTCTGTGTCCCGCACATAAAACACAGTCTTTGCATTCCTGATGAAATCTATCTGCTCAGATTCGGGAGGGGTGGGCGCCAGGTGTTGGGTTACACCGAATCAGAGGCCCTCCCCTCCGCGCAGGGCCGCACCGGGAGCCGGAAGGCCGCTCCGCTTTCACAATAAGAGCGCAAAACGGTCAGTGGGCTGGTGCGTTGGTTGTCACAGCAGGCCGCACGAGCAATAGAGTGTGCACTGTAAAAAAAAAATAAATAAATAAATTAATTAATTAATAAATTAAAAATGTAAAATAAATAAAATAAAGTAAAATCATCTAAAAAATAAATACAATAAAATAAAATAATCTACAAAATAAATAAAATAATCTAATTAAAAAGCAGTGAAAATGTGGATACCATAATGTTTGAAAACTATTTTAAAAATAAAGAAATAAATAAAATAAGTGTAAAATAATAACACTTTTAGCAGCAGTGTAATCTTTTTTTAATGTTTGACATTATTTACAGTTTTGTCCTGTTTTCTTACAGTTAGCATGTTTTTTTAAGGTAATTTTAAGTTATTTTCTGTATTTCCACAAAACTACCCCCAAAATAAGAAATTGTGGGGAAAAACTACACTCAAAAACTATTTAAAGATGTTTTTGCAGTGTGGGCTTTACTGACCTCTTTGCTTTTAGTTTGTGTAAAACAGCTTCTCTCACGTTTCCCTTTTGGAATAATGTTCCTTCTGTTTATTAATCTGTCGGCCTCCTAACGAAGGAGTTCTTTTATTAGGGGGACCATGTTTTTGATCACCGAAAACCAGGACACTCTGCAACGAGATACTCAGACGATACTGAAGGTTTACTCAGAGATGCCTCATAGTTTCAATACATTTAAAGCTGGGATGTATCAGCGACCACATCGGTATCGGCTGATATTAGTGTTTGTTCTCATGTATCGGTATCGGTCCGATGAACACATTTAGCCGATGATCGTCTAACATCAGCGCCTTCGTCTCTACGTTTGATTTCTCTGCTGTTTCACACGTTTTTACTAAAATGGTCCTTTAACGTTATATATGTTTAAATATGTTATACTTTTATTAATACAGAAGACTACGTGGTCTAAGTTGGGCTTCTTTTGCATAGTTTTCTCACAGTGTTTATTTAAACTCATTTTTTGGTGTGAACAAAAATTGAATATCGACATCGGCGATATCGGTTCTCGGTGATATCAGAAGTCTTAATTCGGATATCGGTATCGGTCATAAATTTTAATATCATGCATCACTACATTCAACATATAAGTTAATGACTCCTGTGATCATATGAGCTGTTTTCTGTGATTTAACAGGAAAATGTGTAAAATAAAATTAAAAATTATTTTCCATTTTTCAGTCATTAATACACCCTTTTTTTCTTTCAAATAGCAGCAAATGTTTGTAAAATAACACAAATTTTGTTCATTTAAATCTCACAAAAACAGTGTTATTTTATATTATTTTATAATGCCGCTTAGATAAATACAAATTACTAATGTTTGATGTTGACATTATTGACAGTTTCTGTTTTAAACATGTTATCTAATTTTGTTGGGTTTTTTTAACACGGCAGTGTGAAATGACATTAACTTGTTAAAAAAATCTAATTAAAAACTATTTAAAAACTTTTTTTTCTTTTAATAATATGACATCCCGCTTATATTTCTGCACTGTAAATAATTTAAAGTTCATTCAGCGTGGAAATGCAGGGACGCTGCTGCCCTGATAATCTGTGTTAACGTCACTTTGGTTAATTAATGAGCTCAAAATCCTCTTATGAGTCGTGAAGGTGCAAAGTGAGCTGAGTTCAATTAAATTAACTTGAGATAAGAAGTTCAATAAACTCCAGATGCTGGCTACAGGTAGACCTGCTTTACTTTTACAGTTTCTTAGTTAAAAACATTTATTTTTTATTTAACACTGATAAATTCCAGCTGCACCCGTTGAAGACGTGTTTTAAACAAACAATCTGTGAAGCTGCTGCTGAGATCAATGAAAAGTCTTCAACTGAAGGGACTGAATTGGTTCAGGTGTTATGAAAAGAAACAACCATCGTATTATTTCCATCCATCATCTCTACACCTTAATCCTCACCAGGGTCATGGGGGGCTGGAGTCTATCCCAGCTGACTCAGGGTGAAGGCAGGTTCACCTGGACAGGTAACCAGTCTATCACAGGGCTACACTTAGAGACAGACAACCAAGCACACTCACATTCACACCTACGGACAATTTACAATCACCAATTAACCTCAGCATGTTTCTGGACTGTGGGAGGAAGCCGGAGAACCCGGAGAGAACCCACGCTGCACGGGGAGAACATGGAGACTCCACGCAGAAAGATCCCGGGTGTCCTCACCGGGACACGAACCGGCGACCTTCCAGCTGTGAGGTGCTGACCACCGAGACATTTCAGGTTGTTAATGTGACGTATTCTGTATTCTTGCACATTTTTAGGAAGATGTTTTGCACATTACTGCACACTGTTCATGTTTACTGTTACTTTTGTAGTTTCTTGGATTTGCTGCGCTTGATGTTCATTTGAATCCTTGTTCTTTATTTCATCTTTTATCCTTCTTTCAAACAGTTGACTCGTCAGCGTTGCTGTTTTGCACCAAAACGTCAGAGTCATCAGATTTAAGAACCGACTTTACAATAAAGCACATTCTGATTTCTGCAAATTACCAGAGCTGCTCATGTGTTAATTCAATAAGCAGCTATTTATTTATTTAACTCATCATTTTAAGTCAAAATGCCTCAAGTTATAGAAACTTGCATTTTTACAGCTACAGGAGTCTAAAAGTGAAAAAAAGATGAGACACATGATGTTAATTTAACTAGAAATGAGCAAAACTCAGATATTTAAATTAATTAAGAGATCAGCTGATTTGACTGAACACCATCAGGATGTTTTGCAGTGCAGCATGTGGAACACTTCCTTCTGCAGCTTGCAGTGTAAAAGAACTTTTAGGTTAAACATGGTGCAACACAAACGTGCTTTAGTGAGTTTGAACAGAGCTGATGAAGCTGCAACGTTCAAATAACGTTAAAGTGAGTAAAGCTTGGGTCAGAGGGCTTTAGGTCCAGTTCTGATCTGGTTTTTCATGTGTCCATACAAGGCAACGTTCAGAGTCACCCTGGACTCCTTCTTGACCTACTTTTAATCCTAACGTTCAGATTCAGAAGCTCTGCTGTGATGCATGTTGACCTTCATTTAGTTTGAACATCACTGTTTCTTGCTTGGTTGTCAGTGATTTCTGTTCCCTGTGTAAAGCCTCTTTAACTTGTCACCAGTTGAAGGTTCTACTTTGAAAGTCCCGACCAGAAGCTGTGTGTGTGGAGTCGGTAGCAGCTTGACGGCGGTGGAGAAAAGAGAGAGGGACTGTTGAGCGGCGGAGCCTCCAGCCCGGAGCGCACGCGTGTTCACTGGACTCGAATGGTGTGAAGCCCCAGATGAGGGACTCGGACGTCCGGGGAATGACAGCGTCTGTCACCGGGAGTGACAGCTTTCACTCTGAGCGACTCCGCTGAAATTCCTCCAGCCTGACACCCAGCGACACTGATCCGGACCGGATCCAGCCACACCAGGACTATGCCAGAGATGGAGAAAGGGAGACCTCCGGAAAATAAACGCAGCAGGAAACCCGCGCACCCCGTGAAGAGGGAGATCAACCAGGAGATGAAGGTGAGACTTTATTGATTGATTGATTGATTGATTGATTGTTGTGCCACCGCTGAACGGTTCGGATCCAGTCAGATGTGTTGCTGAACGAGCCGCTTTACGCACGCAGGCGTCTTCCTCCAGAGTCAACTGCGCACAAATCAGTGCAGCAATAATCACACACACACCGTGTTTGTGTCCAGTGAATGCTCTCTTTGTGTCTTTTATGGAACCAATCAGACTTCAAGAGGGTTCATTGCACTTTTTTCACCCTTTTGGAGACGAACTCACAAATCAGAATAAACTTCTCTTTTTTTTTATTTTATTTTATTTTTTTTTTAACTTATCCAAACTGAACATGTCACACAGGAACACACACACGGGACGTTTTGATTACAGATGTTTGTACTGAAGGAGAGTAGGTTGACCTTTGGCTCCTCGTGACGCCATGTCGGGCCAGCTGCGGCCGGACGCGCGCGCTGTAATGTCCAGCGGAGATCCAGATGTGCGTCACTTCTTCCCCGCTCCTGCGGTGCGCTCACTTGCTGCACCGCAGAGGTTTGCCCTCATGAGAAAGAGAGAGAGAGGGCATTTATATGCTTTAAATAGCCTGCTTTAGCCTTACAGTGGGAAAAGTCCACAGCACTGTGTCACATACTCACTAAAGAATGCAAACATGCAAAAAGTTCCCACTGAGGGGTCATAATTACTCACTAATGACACGTCCGTTAAGAGTGCGCAGCCCCGCACAGGCAGTAATAAGTTAAATCACAGTAACAGACTGGATTCCCTCCCACCATTATGAGCCTATTACTGCATGGAAACTAATCCGTGGATTGTCTGCTTTGTTTGGGTTTGGACATTTGCTATCCGAGACTGTTGACTGTGCTGTTAGTGGATATTCAAGGCTCCTTCAAGCTGAAGCTGAGAAATCCAAAAAGACAAGCCGTTTTCTCGGGCAGGGAGGCAGGGAGGGAGAGGGGGGGAGGCTTTGGCCTTTCGTGAGAGAGGAAATGTGCTCTTTTTGTGTAAGTGGTTTGGATTGTAGCGTTTGATATCCAGGGGAGGTGTAGTGTTACATCTTAACTAATTTTAATCAAAACACGTGAAACGCTATCCCCTCTTGATGTAAGCCTGCCTGGGCTGAATCTCAGGGTCGGCCCCAGTTTGTTGCCTTTGGCTGCAACTCTCTGTGGTTTGGGATATGGCTTGTCACTCTCACAAAGCAGATGTTTGTCTAAACTGCCAAAAAGAAACAAAAACAACATTGTGGGAAGTGGAGGGGTGGGTGAAGAGGAAGAGAGGAAAAAAAAAGTGCCCCGTCTTTCGTTAACAAGTATAAGGAAGAAAAAAGAAAAGAAAAGGGGGCACTGGGCTGCAGGAGAACACCACAATACCAAAATTAGGCCTGATGGGGAGGCTTCAGCGGTGGAGGAAACCCCCAGAGATGTGCACCTTTAAGTCAAACGATGGAAAGGGAAGAGAGAGGCACTGATTTCCAGCTCAGCTGAGACCCGTCCCGGTGTTGTCTCTGTAATACATCTGTTTCAACACCACATTCGGACCTACTCCCTCCACGTCAGACCCGAGCGCAGCACCAGACACCGGATACTTGACTTTAATCATCGTTAGGCATATTTAGCTGGATATGATACCGCCGCTCACCCACACACTCTCCCAGACGCACACACACACACACACACACACACACACACACACACACACACAGCAGAAAGTGAGCAAGCGAGGGAGAGATCCATTTCTTTGAGGCCCTGGTTGCAGAGCAGAGGTCGGAGTGAGGAAAGCAGGGGAAAGAATGTGCAGTCAGTACTACAGCAGCAGCAGCAGCAGCACTACAACACCACCACCACCACCACCACCACCGCCACAGCAGACTGGCTGTGCTGGAAAAGGGTGAAACCTGAGAGGCCGCGCTGTGTCGGGTGTCAGGGATGGAAGGTGCTGGGATGGAGGGGAGGATGGTGAAGATGGGAGGTGAGGGAGGGGGGGAGAAAAAGAGGCAAGGGGAGGGACTGGAGAAAGAGTGAGAGTGGTGGACACTGGAGAGAGAGAAGAAGAAGAGAGAGAGAGAGGAGTGGGGCATTTCCGAGAACCGTGGGACCTCGCTGTGGTGTAGGGTGTCCCGCTCTGATTTCTGCCCGTTCCGGATCAGGTTTCCCCTCCAATCCGGTTCTCCCAAAGCCACAGAGAGAGACAGAGAGAGGTGGGTGGATAAAGAGAGAGACCTTTGTGTTTTTTGTTTTCATCTGGTCATAATAAAAAAAAAAAAAGGGGGAGACCACACATCCCATCTGTGGAGAACAGTTTTCTTTTCTCCCTCTTTTTTCCAATTAAAAGAGATAAACAAAGGATGATTCATAGATTTCACACTGGTGTTAGGTTTTAAACCTTTCCGTCTCAGATTTAGCAAGAGTAAACAACTCGAATACATCATGGAAAAAGCGTCATACTGTACTCCACTGTGCCCCTATTCATTTCTCCAACAGGGCTGGGGCCGAGAAAGAATCCCTCACATTGATTCAGAGCAGGAAGGTCTGATTATGTTTAACATAGGATAAAAAGTTCCACTAATAACCCCGGAGATGTACGCTCACAGTTTCCCGTGTGCTCTCAGTTACCCTCTCCCCTTACACACGACGTTAATCGGGGATTTCTTTTTGCTCTTTTTCTCGTGCAGACGTTTGCAGAAAGCACCATGAACGAGCTCCTGGGGTGGTACGGGTACGACAAGGTGGACCTCCGGGAGTCGGAGGCCAACGAGATCAGAAACTACAGGGAGAGGCGTCAGCATGTGTCTGTGCTAAAAGGTGAGGGCAGGTGTCGACTGTTGTTCCTGAATTTACACTAACCGACAGGTTCTGCAGGTTTCAGTGCAGACATTGAGTCACTGCACACATTCGCTAGACATAATCTCCTGTAGCTGCCACTTCTCCAGTTTCATTCATTCAGATACATCTGTTGTTTGCACAGAAGTTATTATAGTATCATGTAAGCCACTCGCGCGATTGCGTTACGCGACGAGTTCGCATTGTGTTTTGTTTGTGTCTTTCAGAAAACTCGTTGCCAAAACCCAAAAGTCTGGACGCCAAAGCCAGTCACTCAGTCCTGGCCATGAAGAGCGGAGAGAGGGAGTCCTGCAGCGTCCCTTCCTCCTCGCCCTCCTCTTCTGCGACAAGCTCATCCCTGACCTCCCCCAAGGAGCACAAGAGCGCCCCTGTCATCGTCCCTCTCATAAAGCCGTCAGCAGGTAGCGGACCGAGGAAGCACCAAGTGATGAAAATATGACGACCGCGAATTCTGTATGCTGAAGTATGATTTGGGTTTAAATCCGTTCGCCCACAATGATCACGATCGCTCTCATGTTTACGCGCTGAGAGGTCAGAGTGCAGCGTCAACTGTGGGCGAAGGAGCCGGTGTTGGTTTCAGCTTTTGCGGTGACTCCTGAGCAATATTAGAAGCGCCGTAAAACCCGAGGAGGCGTTGCAATTACATCGGCACGTCTCCTCGTCCTCCAGTTACTTGGTGCCATCATCATCATCATTCAGCTCCGTTTAGTGTCGTTTGTATTAAACGACGGCAAGATGCTGCTCGTCACGAGGGTTTGAGAGAGTGAGACACCTGAGCCAATTAATTACTGAATGTAATACTCTGTGATAACAGTCTGAGCTAAATTAGTTTGCAAATAATGATGTGTAGCAGCACCAGACGTTACAAATGGAAGCTTAATAAGTTGCTGTAGAGCTTTTATCATGTGCAGCATGTGTACGAGCTCATAAAGCAGCACTTTGTTATCCAAGTTTTACAAGTTTTTAGCTTTTTTCTGAAGGTGTTGGCATCTGGTACATTTGGTGGACGATGTAGGATTTGTAACCTCCATCAGCACTGTTAAAAACAGCAGAAAATATTGTGTGTATAAAACGGGCCGCTGCTGTAATAACCCGACATGAATGCTAAAAGCCTCACATGAAACTGACTAGGTTGGCTTCAGTCGTTGTTTCAGAGTGAAAACTAAACGTGTCACTGTTCGTACAAGCTGCACCGTGAGTCCATAAAGCTGACATTAATGTATACCAGAGATGCTGAAGGGTCTCCAGACTCCCTGATAGAATATTACCCCGAGACTCCTTTTAATTAATTCAGTGTTGAACAAGAAGTTTGGAGCAGCTCCAGCTGTAATGATAGTCTGATCGTATTCCCATTATTCAGATGAATACTGTACTTTGTCATATTAATAGCTAAATAATAGGTCCTGCTCAAAAAGAACTGACTCATGTCTCTTGAGCTCCAGTGAGGTTAAATACAGTTAAAGCACTCGGCTTTATCTGCTCGCTGCCAGCCACTTCCTTGTAAGATCTTCTGACCTGTGCACTAACACCTTTGCAGATGGCACTCGCTGATCGCCCTCCTCTCTTGTGATTCTCCCCCTGCAGTGGAAGACGTGCAGAACGTGCAGATAGTGTGTGTTTGGTGCCAGAAGGAAGGTGTAAAACGCTACTCTCTATGTATGGGCTCGGAGCTCAAGAGCTTCTGCAGTGAGAAGTGTTTCGCCGCCTGCAGACGGGCCTACTTCAAACGCAACAAGGTTTGTGTTGAATGCAAAATGCATCCAGTATATGCTAGCAGAGTGTACGCGTTGGCTTGTGCCTGTCGGTGAAACGCTGGAAGTCCTACTATCGTCATGGTGGTGACTGAGCTGTAGATTTGTTTTGACCTGTTTTAATGTGTTGACTTCAGTAGACAGATGCAGGTTTGCACCGTTTGCACCAGCTGACTGTCCACACACAGGAGGCCAGGCATCAAGTGGTTTCTGGCAGGTACACAGACCTTCAGAAACAGATACCCCTGATCCTGTGAGGTCAAAACTGATGGATTCATTTACGGGAATTTAAAAAGGGCCGATCTCTAAGAACACAATTCCTAGTTAGTACGGAGGAGCCGGTTAAGGAGCGGTGGGAGGGAGGTCAAAGTTTTCAGAGGACACTTAGTATCAGTTTCACGTTAATGGAGAAGAGGCCGGCCATTAAGTGGCTTTGGTCTGGAGGACAGGAAAGCTGCAACTGCTCCGATGCACATTGCCATGATTTTTCACCCTCCGTTACGACATGGATATACCTTCTGTGGAGGTGCGGGGTGACGAGCTGTTGTATCGACTTTCACCCTCTGTGTTGTTTATACCGTGGTAGATTTATTCACACAACAACGGCGACACAAAGGAGGGCTGAACAGTTTGCGCGCAACAAGCCCTCTAGTTTTTCGGAGGCGGGGCAGAAAGCATTTCTGTTGGCTTGTTGCTGCTTGTCTGAGAGGAAGGCCAGGAGGCCTGGGGCGAGGTGTCCACTTTCAGTGCATACCTTACCTTCAGCTGCCTCATGTTTCGTAACTCAACACGACTCAATGGGTCACAGAGATGGGAGAGCACTCAGATCCTCAGCAGATCAGCTTACATGAATCAAGAGGAATTTCCTATATTAATACTGGCAGGGCCATTAATAATATGACAATACATCACCTGCATTATCTCCCTACGTGGTTGTAGAATCATATCTGTTTCACAACACAGGGTTTTTTCTTTTGTTTTACTAACCTTTAGGGTTTTATTCCTTGTGTGAAGTTCAAACTACTTCTAACTTACATGACAAAGAATTTCATTTGAAACTGATATTTGTGCTGGTTGTGTAAGAAAGTCACATTTGGGTTGACCTTTTGAACCCCAAAGGCCACTGGCAGGTTTGAAAGGCACGTTGTCTTGGACAAAATCACCAAAATACACCGTTTAGCAGAGCAAGAAACTGTAAAAACAGAGAACTGATGGATTTTTAACTTTCCAACAGTCTTTGAACTACTCATCTGTGGTGTACCATTTCAACGGGAAACTAAATCTAAGTTTAAAATTATGACATTTCAATAAAGTCTTTTTTAGATTCTCGTTTAAAAATGTGCCAGAAACGAGGCGTTTGCTCTCACCAGGTTGTGTACTGCTCCTCGGTGCAGCCATGAAGCCGTGAGTTAATCAGCTTCGACTCTGACAGTCATTCGACAAAAACTCGGGGACTTTTTGGCTGAACTGCAAGCTTGCACAAAGCACATAGGAGATGAGTGTATAAACAAATTAAAAATGTCTGTAAGAAAATATGTACAGTGTGTAAAATCACCATTCTTTCCAGTATTGCGTACACTGTTGCACATGTCAATTCTAGTTTATTTCATTTTTTGTAAAATGAAAGATTTTAATTGTCACTTTTCCTTTTTTTTACACTTTACATCAGTGTAACCTTATAAAGCTGCACAAATGACATTTCTAAGATCTCTCTACTTCTAGTCATGGTTGTGCTGTTTCCCGAGAGGTGCAGGACTTTAAAACTGCAGTGAAAAATGAGCCAAAACTGTAGAAAAACTGCTTGTGGTTTAGAGGGTTAATGGACACAGAATGATTCTTGAGGATGAATTTCGGTCTGATAACTGCCTCACAGTGATTCATGTTTGGTCTGTCACTCTGGTTTTCCCCTGTCAGGCCAGAGATGAAGATCTCCATGGTGAGAGATCCCCGCAGCACTCCCATACAGAGGACTCGCCCAGACTGGTGTTGAAGATAAACACCAATGTCAGAGTAAGAGGACACTATCAATGTATCTTTTGTCTTGTATTGTAAAAATATTAATATATCTGTGCTATGAAATTACAAGGCATAACATGCCAGGCTATTGGGAAAAATCCTGTTTCTGTGTGTTTGTACAAAAGTCTTGAAGTTTTCAGCTGGAATCTGTCACTTCATTGACCCCCAGCAGTCTCTCTCCCCTGTGCCACAGGTATGTGACTGGTGCAAGCATGTCCGTCACACTAAAGAATACCTGGACTTTGGATCTGGTGAGGAACGACTCCAGTTCTGCAGCACAAAGTGTCTGAACCAGTACAAGATGGACGTCTTCTACCGAGAAGCGCGTGCAGCTCTCACCAGCACCAGTTCCAGCCCAAACAGAACCAGTCAGGAGGGGAGGGCCGACAGCGTGGTGGCTGGGCAAAAGCTACTCACTCCAGAGTCTTGGAACAGCAGCAACAGTGCAATGGAAGCCCGTAACAGAAACCTTTCCCCTAAAGGGCCTGCACTAATCCACGGATCAGCAGAACCCACCTCCATCTCCCCCTCAGAAGCCTCTTCTTCTTCTTCTTCTTCTTCCAAAGTCCCCGTTCCAGGGCTCAGGACCCTGGAGAGATCGATCCAGCCCCCTCCCTCTTCTATGGAGGTGTCGCCGCACCCTGTTCCCCTTCCTCCTCCACCTCCTCCTCGCCCTCCTCTGGAGCAAAAGCCAGTGCCTCAAATCCCCATGCCCTTCATCAGGCCTCCTCTTCATGCTCAGGGCCTGAAAAGCCCCCTTGCCAATCCTCCCAGACATCCAGGCCCCCCTTCCAGCCCTATCCACAGACCTCCACACTCTCCCCACCTACAGCCCCCAACTTCTACTTCGATGAATCCCCCTGGACTGATGCATCCCTTCCCAGGAGCCTACTTCCCTGGATTGCACTCCCCTCCTCTGAACATGATGCCAAGAGCTCCAGTCCCAATGCCTCCCATAATGAACTTTGGGATTCCTTCTTTTAGCCCTTTGCTGCCCCAACCCACTGTGCTGGTGCCTTATCCCATCATTGTTCCCTTGCCTGTCCCCATACCCATTCCTATCCCCATTCCAGTCCCTCCTAAAGCAACAGTAGAAACTCCAAGTCACAGTGGAGTTATCCAGCCCGTGCCAGAAGGGGTGGACAGGGTGAGATCCAGGGCTATCAGGCCACAATCTCCAGGGATCTCTGAAGGGGACATCAGATTGGTAGCCAACAAATTCGGTGGAGCCTTGCCTCAAGGTCTTTCCTCACCGAGTGACCCCAACACAAGGGACACAGATTGGGTTAAATCAGAGAGGCCATTTCTGTCCCCAGCATCCACACCCCAAAGTGGAGCATCTTCCCCCAGAGCACAGTACAATGAATCCCCCTGCTCTGCCTCAGGGTCGGAGGTGCTGGCAGACGAAAAGCAGCAGCAGACAGAGCGACAAGTCATCCAAAGGGTTCTTCAAAGGACCCAAGTGAAGATGGAGCCCAGTGCCAATGGAGTGGTGGACCTGTCAGGGCTGGGGGAGTCAGGGACTGGACAGGTTAACAGATCGGGGCTTCACGATATCATCAGACCCACCCCTCCTCTACCACAGTCACCTTCACATGACACTGTCTACCAGCACCAGGACTCCCAAACTCCACCCTGTCACACCCCACCCAGCCCCATGGGGAGCAGCCATCCACATGATGCCACACCCTCTGTCCTGAAATCTCGGGACCACGGTCAAAATGGAATGTCCTCTGCATCCACACCTGCCAGTCCAGACTCCTCCCTACCCCAGAGATTACAAGCACCACCCTCTGACCCTGCACTTAGTGAGCTGGAGGCCATCAAAGAGAACAAGTGCTCTGTTGTTAGCCCAGTGCGGGTCGAGGGCCCAGTCGGTCACTTAGAAGAGCCCTTAACAGTAGTCGGGGACATAGGAGAGGACTCTCATGTTCCAGATGAGGACCATGCCTATGCCCTGCCCACAGCGCCAAAGACAGGTGGGACCACCACCCCACTGCTCTTGCCCAAACTCAGGGACAAGGGCAGCCTGCGGAGCCCTGCTAATATGCCCAGCGCTGGAGACATGGAGCCAGCTCTGAAGAGGCGATGCCTGCGAATCCGAGATCAGAATAAGTAGAGGATGGAGGTGAGAGATTCTGTTACAGTGTGAGGAAAGATATTGATAGCATTTGTGTCACCAGCTTTTATTATGTCTGCTATTATTGAGTTGCACATTGTAAGAAGGACCCGAATCGCTGCACCTACTTATTGCGGAGGCTGTCAGGTACATCTCACAGTGAACCAAGTTGACTGCAAGTGTATTTGCATAAACTTTATGTGGTATGCCACACTGGTTAAATTAAGCCCCAGCAATTATTTTTAAACACCATTTAACCAGGGATTGGAAAATGTGTGTACACACACATTCACACATATACAGGGCAAGCTTAATCACAGGTCTCACAGTATGCGCGTGGTCACTAAACAGCATGGCGCCAAAGAGAGAGAATCCCAGTAACCTGGCACTCCTCTGTGCTCTAAGGTTACAACAGGGGAAGGAGGTGGAGGGCACAGGCAGTGAGAGTCACTTTGAAAGGCGATCACTTCACCACAACCTGACAGTCACAATGCTTTGTTTGCATAGCAGCCTGTTTTGTAGGCTCAGATTTGCCAACGCATGCGAGTGTATGTCTGGTTGAGAGGGAGGGAAGGAATTCTACATTCTAACCAATTAGCCCACGCGCTTATCAGGAGCGGTGTATATGGAGGTGGTAGATGCATTTTCTCACACAAGGACAGGAGGCTGCTGCTGCTGCTGAATCTAAGGTGTGACCTTGAGGTTATGGGATAGCCGGTCCAAAACGACACTCAGACACAGATCAAGTCTCCGTGTGACCCCAAAGTCAAACTCGTAGTTCCTGCAGTGAGCCAGTGCAGACGTCTTTGTGAGGCTGCTGTAGAGACAGAGGTGATTGTCAGGCAGATTACAAGGCGCTGTGAATATGAGAGGCAGCCTTCAGCTGTGATCGTGCTCTGGGGCTTCATTAGAAAACACAGGGGCAGAACCAGAGCGATCCGATTACACATGTCATAATGACACCCTGTTCTGACTTTGGCTCGTCTCTCTCCCAAGTATAAGTTCTGCACTCTGTGCTCCTCTCCCTTTTCAGTCCTCTCCCTTTTCTTCACTCACCACTGCTGTCCGCTGCCAACCAGATGTTGGTGTTAGAATGCAGCCGGAAAGCCTCCTGACTTTGGACCAATCAAAGAACCTCTTGATTTCACTTCCCTGATTGGTAGTCCAAATGGCTGCAACACCACCTCAGCCGGCGGTATCTCAGTCTCACCATAACAAGATCATGTTACCGTTTTACTGTATGTCCTGAGATTAATCCGCTGATATTACAGAGATGGTTTAGATTTCAGTTGGCCCGCTTCTCTGTCTCTGTTCTACTCCAAGCCTCCAAAGGCCAGGGGTCACCTTAGTAATTGTGTTTAAAAAAGATGGCTGCTGATAGGGAATGCGCAACGTAAACCTTTATCTCGACCCCAGATGTTTGGTGCCTGTGCTCAAACAAGATTTCCTTTCACTAAATGAGTTCCCACTTTGCTCTTTGTCATTTGTTGTGGTTTCATGCATCGCCTTAGTAACCAATACATATGAAATCACAGCGTGCTGCTTGTGTCGTGCAGACGGATTTATGGCCGTGCGTTGTGTGTAATGGGAGCTGGCTGCCGTATGTGAATGACTTTAGCCTGCCACCTCTCTCCTCTGAGCCGAACATTGCTGTCCTGTTCCATTGTCTGTACCGCTAAAAGTCCACAAAAAAAATCTCCCACACTGACACAGTCAGCAGCCAACTGGAGGATTTCACCTCAGGAAACAGCCCGTTTTTTCGTCTCAGTTTTCCTTGCCTTTATTTGGGATATTTTATAGCCCCGTGTAATTCGATCCCACCACATGGGTATTCGCTGAGCGTTTGAAACTAAAACGCAATGGGACAGAGGGAGTACAGAACCCTGGTTTGGCCCGTATGTGTGTGTGTGTGTGTGTGTGTGTCTGTGCGTCTGTTTGTGTTTAATGTGTGTTTGAATGAAAATGTGTGTGTGAGAGAGAAAGAGGCCAGATGTTCTTGGTTTGATTGTGCCCTGTGCAACAGTTATCTGAGTGTTGATATGACTAAAGGCCTCATTCTCAGTGTTTATGCAGAATGGGTGGATTACGGAATGAGTGTCCAGAGCGGGAGAGGTTGATATAAGATATGGCAGAAATGGAAATTACACCAGATCAGCCCAGAATCTATAACATCTCACCACCCTCTCTCTCTCTCTCTCTCTCTCTTTCTCCCCCTCTCTGTTTTTTGTACTCCCACCCTTTCCACCTAATGAACAGACTCCCTGTTTAACACTGTATGGCAGTGCCAGATTCAGTGCCACGCCCTCTTGTGGACAACACCAGTGCTAACACCCTCCAGCCTGTCCCTCAGCCCACCAGAGTGCTGCTCTGCCTGTAGACCAGCAGGGTGCCAACCCAGGAAGCAGTCCAGATGGCCGAATTATCGCAAGTCAACATGGAGGTGGGGGGGAGAACACAACACAGTCACACAGTTTTGTCTTGGACCAAAGAGCATCGCTGGCTCGTGTGTTACATTGTGTGCGGTGAGCGCTTGAAATGGAGCATCTCAGATCTTCTTCCTGTCTGACATTGCCCTAAAGTGTGCACAACTTAGTGTGGCTGCCCAGATGCGCTCCTCCTCCTCCTCTTCCTCCTCCTCCTCCTCCTCGTCCTCCTCCTCCTCCTCTTCGCTCCACACAGCAGACAGGGCTCTGATCAGCCTTGTGTGGTCTTCTCAGATGGAGCCTGAACATGATCTCTTTCCAGGGGAAACGGTTTGTTTTCTCTGCCCGGCTTGCACAAAGAGCCACATTGTTCCTCTCCCCATATCCCACGCTGACTCCCCACTCCAGGTTTTGGGTTACCTGGCCGACGGGGGCTCAGACTTCAGGAGCTTTTTTATTTTTTTGACCGACAGCCAGGAATATAGTATACCCTTCTCTCCTCCACCTATCCGCCCAATCTAAATACGGTACACACCAGTGCTGAGGTTTTTATCCCTCACAACTGATTGCCTGTGACTCCCTACGCTGCTCACTTCCTTCGAGGGAGGAGAGAAATTCTGCTGAGATTAAGACTTTATCCCCGGGCAGTTTGCTCACCGTGTAGAGAGTCCGGCTCGGCTGTCAAGACAGAGGATTGAATCCCCCCGAGGAGAGCCCTCTCTGGCTCCTCTAAAACAATGTAGACAGAACATCCGAGGGCACGCCTACTGATGCACACTAGCCGAGACGGTCTGTGAACACTTTAGTCGTCTTGATGACGCTGGTACATAAATGTGTGATTTACAGATCCGATATCCACCAAATGGCAAATTTGAATCCGTGTTTGCTTTAAAAACCTTCACAGGACGCGACAGTTTGACTGATTCAGATTGTTTTTCTACAGTTATTTGGCTTCGATCGGACAATTCTGACAAAAAACAAAAAAAACAAGACGAAGTTTTGTAATATTACCAAATGTGGTGTTATACTCAAAAGCATCAAATGCTGTGGTGTGCAGCGAGCAGTATTACAGTTCCCGCTGTTGGGGATACCTAACGAGATTTGATCCACTTAGAGGCTTGTCAACACTTGTCCCCCTTTTGTATGATTTCCAGTTGAAATCTACGCAGATACTATTTGATGTTATATTAACTTATGGATGATGCTTATGTAGATTTTCACACACACACACACAAAAAGCTTTATTTCCTCACTTGTTTTGTTTCTTTGGTGATTGTGTGCCGAAGCTCTTGAACGCCTCCTCCTCCCCCTGTCTATGTGTTTATATGCCCACTAGAGAGCAGTGTTTGCCTTTGTAACTTTGCACCTGCCCTTTTTTTTTTTTTTTTTCCTGACAAGAAAGCACCAGGAGGCCCCATAGGCAGTCTGCTGAAAGCCCAATACAATCTCACTGAACACAACACTGCACTCGGTGCCATCTGACTCCCATCCAAGCAGACAGCTTTTTCCTCGCCAATATTTCAGACGATTGCAGCAGCGTCCTATCAAGGATGTAGTCAGCGGCCTCTTCGCTCATCGTGACCTAGAAAATGTCACCCAGCCCCCCCCGCCATCATTCCAAAACTACCTACCCTGTCTGTGTTTGTGTATATGTGCCTACGGAGGAAACACGCTTTCCTGTCGCCCCGCTCATTCCAGCCGACATCCTCACCCACAAGTCATGCCATTAGTGTCAGAGTCATCCTGCCAGGGGGGACTTTGTCAACAGCTGATGACATCACTCCATACAAATAGCTGCCGTGTCAACAAGTGGTTCTGCTCTGACTTCAGAGGCCAAATCTTACACCATCAAGACTGCCATTATTATTACTATTATTATTATTTTCAATCATTGCCATTTCTCACCTGGTACAATATGGGTGTTAATTCAAAGTTTTGACAAAAGTGACTTTAGATGTTTTTTTGTTGTTGCCTGAAATGCATAGGTAGGCTACTTTCTGACCTCCCCTGTCCAACATTTAGCCGCTATCTGGATTTAAACTGTCTCACTGTTTGTATTTGAATAAAGATTAAGTAACCAAGAGCTTTGGTGGAGACCTCTTTGTAAAGTAAAAAATAAATAAAAGTTATTCTAAGAGCAACGACGTGTCTGGTGGATTTATTATTATTATTATTATTATTTTTTAAATACTCCATCCCTGTTTTTAGGTCACTTTTTTTTCAACTGTTATTTTATCGCGCTGTGTCCCTTTAAACCTAAATGTCGGCCATGTCAATTAACAAACTTTTAAAAATAAAGCAATTATCCAGGTTTGAGCAGCAGATAAGGACAGGCAGCGCCCTGCCATCCGTGTAAATGTCTATTTTTAGTGGCAGCGTGTCTGAGAGGCAGCGCATCAGCATTCCTCAAATACTGAAAGTTGGTCGGTGACGGTTAAACCGATGAATGAGATAAGAGAGCAGGAATTCCGGCCCGCGGAGGCTCGCTGGGAACAAGGACTGAAGGATTGTTGGGGGGCGAGTTGTGTTCCGGCCTGGGGCAAATTCCAAGGCTTAGTTAGAGACCAGAAAGGCAGGACAGAAATTAATAATATATATAGTTAACGTGTCTGGGATTGATCCTCGTCAAGACACCTACAGTGAGACAGCACCCAACCGGATGAGCAGCAGTCTGTCAAAATAAAAGCATAAATATACACGAGCTATGAGAATATAGTAAAGGATATTATTATTATTATTATTATTATTATTATTATTA